ACCTGAACTGGAGGGTGGAGTTGGACCCAAAGGGGGGGAGGGGTTGGAGTACAGTTGGACCCAAACCAGGGTGGGGGGCCAGGGTCAGACCTGAAAGAGGGGGGGCGGACCTGACATGGGGGGGAGGGGGCCACAGGGCTGGATGCAGGGCTCTGCCCCTGCTGGCCCTGCTTCCCCCATCATTCTTGACAGGCAAGTTGCTAGTTTGAAATAACCAGGAATATATTTGATAGCCATGTTGGTCTGAGACAGAAAGAAATGCAAAACTCTAGAATTCTTGGTTCAGAGACGATACCTTTTATTAGACCAACTAAGACATTGCTGAGACTGATGTAAATCGTGCTTCCTTTTCAATGCTGAAATATTCTTATCAAAACTCTAGAATTGTATAAAGATGGGGTTTTTTTGCAATTTCTTAGTTGGTCTAATAAAAGGTATCGTGTCTAAACCAAGAATTCCAGAGTTCTGCATTTCTTTTTTAAATAACCTGGTATTTGAAATACTTGAAGTGTGATTATAATAAGGATGAGATACTTTTCTCCATGGCCACAAGGCACAGGACTAGAAGTAATGGCCTTAAATTACAGTAGAGGATATTTAAGTTGAAGATTAAAAAGAACTTTCTAAGTATGAGGGTGATAAAGCATAGGAACAGGCTAACTAGGGAAGCTGTGGAATTGCCATCCCTTGAAATTTTCAGGAGCAGGTAGTCAAACACTTGACTGGGATGGTTTAGTCAGGGATGATCCTGCTTTGATCAGGGTGCTGGTCTAGATGACTTTGTGAAGTACCTTCCAACTCTACTTCCCTGTGTTCCTATAATTTTTTTTATCAATGTCACATATATGGTTGCCTGTTAATTATATATATATTTGTTAGAGATTGTTCCTTGTCATAGGATCTTACAGTGTAAGATCTGGGTGCTGAGTGCTCTCAGCTCCCCCTGGCCTTCTCAGAGGCTTAAGTACAATGTTAAAGATGCAGGACAATAAGGTAACTTTAGGCAAGGGAAATATTGGACCCTTGCTTGTGGGTCTACACAGTATGTAACATTTCATTTTAATTTAATTCTTTTTTTCTTAAAGAAAAAAGAATGAAAGAAAACAATTGTACAGAGTAATCTGAAACAAGAGTTTACAAGTAGGAAAAATGACTGTTTATTGGAAAACAATTTTGAACACTGGAAAGTACAGATTCCATACTATAGCTCAGGCATCCAGGTTGTAGCCATGTTAGTCTAGAGGAAAAGGCAATCAGGACTCATAGTAGAGAGAATATCTTTTATTAGACCAACAAGATTTACAGCTCATACTTTTCTCATTTAGTACTCATTCATATTACAACTCAGCTTTTCTTTTTTAGGAAAAACTTTAAAGCATCAGAGCTGCCTAGGGCAGCTTTAATTTATATACATGTTAATAAAGGTTTGCTTTAATATGCATATGCTTTTACTTTTGAGTTTGAATTATTGTAAAATATTAAATTATGAATAAGTTTTCCTAGCAATCCTGTCCCTTTGGGATTTGTACATTTCTTTGGGTTACAGAGTCTACTATTTATGAAAAGGTGACAGCAGTAGTGGTTGTGAAAGAATAGATTTCTGTTTCATATCTTTTTAAACTGATATGCAGATATAGAGACATCCTACTTGGAGTAGGTCTGTACAAAAATACCTTTTAAGCTGATGGGTATTTCGCATTAAAAAAAATCAAGTACACTAAGACAGGATATAACCCTAACTCTGTGAAACAGCAGAAATATTACTCTCTTTCTTCCTATAAATGTTTCACCAACTAGAGTACAATTAATACACCTGCTTGTTTAAAATGAAGAGTGGAGATTCTCTCTAAGTGATTTCTGTTTAAATGAAAATTGGACATCTATACTCTCTGTACATCTAATTTCCCTCTGAACTGCATCTTTGAAAAGCTTAGTCACACACGTTGCAGAACAGAATTAAACATCCATTCTAGGCCTGTATCTTAGATCTAAATTTGCTTTCTTTCAATACATCAAATTGATTTGTTAATGAAGTCTTTAAGATAAATTATTTTTCCATCTAAGATATCTTATAGATTCATAGATTCATAGAAGTAAAGTCAGAAGGGATCTTGTAGATCTTCTAGTCTGATCCCCTGCCCTGGGCAGGAGAGAAAACCGGGCTCAAATGACCCCAGCCAGGTAGACGTCGAGCCTCCTCTTAAAGACCCCCAGGGTAGGACATCACCAGTTCCCTTGGAAGTTGGTTCCAGATCCTAGCTGCCCTAACTGTGAAGTAGTGCCTTCGGATATCTAGTCTAAACCTACTCTCTAACAACTTGTGGCCATTATTCCTTGTTACCCCGGGGGGCGCTCGGGGGGAACAAGGTCTGTCCCAAACCCTGCTGGTCACCCCTAGTGAGTTTATAGACGGCCACCAGGTTCCCCCTCAGCCTTCTCTTGCAAAGGCTGAACAGGTTCAGGTCCCATAGCCTCTCTTTGTAGGGTCTGCCCTGCTGTCCCCAGATTAGCCCTTATTCATGATTGTGTAAAAGGAACCTATATAATATCACAATGTTGCTAGATTTACGTTTATTAGATTTTCTAATACATTTAAGAAAACAAATTGATATTGTTTATAATATTTCTGGTGGCATCAAAACTAGTGAAAAAGAAACAGCTTATTTACATACAAATATTCTCCTTTCATGTTAAATCCCTGAAATTGTGTTGGAAACAAATGTGATTGTAAAAATGGATACTCCACTGAAATTAATTCATTTTGTAGTGAAGTGCTCAATTTTCTATCTAAAGGATAACATCTACTGATTACATCACACAGCCTAATATTTGCCCATGATTTCAGCTACATTCGTCATAGATTTCGTGAGTTTCCTCATCGAACTTGCCATTTTGGAGATTTCCTGCCACTTTTCTGACTGAAGAGACTGATGTAACTCATGCTTCCTTTTCAATGCTGAAATATTCTCATCAAGCTCCAGCATCATATTTGAGGCTTGAGAAAGTTTACTGTCCCTCCCAACAAGCTGTAATGAGGAAAATGTAAATTGAAACAAAAAATGGTCAAAAAGAATAAAACTAAATTATTTCAATTTCTAAATTCTGATGAAACCTGCATGTGTGTATTTTTAGGTTGCACTTTTTAAAGACATACAGTAATCAAATGCAAATATGTAGTTTTGTTAGAAATATTTCTCATATATCACAAGATATTTTTTTTATCTCCTAATGACATGCATACTAAAGTCATAACATTCAATTTAGTCAAAACCTTAAGTGGTTTACAACCTTTACTTTTTTATGTTATCAACCTTACATCCTTTCTGCTGGAATTAAGGGGATGGCACTGCAAGATGTGCTAGATGCCAAAGTGACAGTTTTTGCCCAATCTGGCTTCTGAATTAGCTCTACAGCTGTGACCAAACACAAGTGCATGGTTGCTGAGCACTTTAAAAGGGCCCAATCTTGCCACAATCTGAACCCTCATTACATGAGGGGTGAGATGAAGGTGCTCCAAAGTGGAGCGCCTTCATTAACTTCTGTCAGCATGTGCCTGAAACAGAGCTCAGCAGATGTAGCCCAGCTCTGTTCCCATTGCTGTTTTCAGAATGGGAGGAAGGGAAGGGAGCTCGTTCTGGGAGTTGCCCAGCTAGTGCTGGAGGGTGTGGCAGGTAGATTGGAGCCCCCGTCCTGCACTCCGCTGATGCACCTTCTCTCCCTGGATGGGCTCTAAATTGGAGCTCAATCACTCACCCATCCCTCCCAACCCAACAGCTGATGTGTGTTGAGTCAGGAAGATCAGTCTAACTTATGGTGCCTTCTGTGAAGCTCCATGAATTAGATCTGGGAGCTGCACTTCTGTCTGTGCCTGCTGAGTGCGCTCAACTCTCATTAACTTCTTGCTGTATAATGAGACAGAACTGTGGTACATGACTCACATCCATCACAAGCAGGTAGTCTCAGAATAGATAGCATTTCAGCACAGATTTTCAGCTGTCTATGCTGTATGATCATGCATTAAATAAACCTACAGCATATATCTCAAGTGACATCATGAGAAAAATGGCAACTAACAATGAATGTGGAAGTTCATCTATTGCCAAAAAAATTAGATTTGTCAACTTTGAGAGATAAGGGCTTTCTAGTTACAGACATGGATGGGAAATGCCAGGGTGATACTGGACAGTTTTTATTTCAACCTATGAAGATGGAAGACATCAGGATATCTTGCTTTTGCACAGAGTACTAGTCATTCATTTACTCACATTAAAAGTTCTTTATTAGTTTGCATTGAAGTTAAATCTTTAATATCTATTTGATGTTAACTTGTTAACATCTTCAAAATGAAAATAAAGTAAGCTTTGTAAAATTACCATGTGTAGTTTTCCCATATATATTTGTACCCAAAGTATACTCAATAATTAGCACAGTTTTGCAAATTAAAATACACAAGATAACATGAAATATCTCTGTGTCACGATACAACAGAACAGTAACTAAGCAGTTCTTTAGATTGTAAGCTTCTTGGGACAGGCTTTCTTTTAGTTCAGGTTTGCACAGTATCTAGCATACTGGGGTCCTGGTCCCTGAAGCAATACAGACGATAAATAATTATTACTGTGTATGTGATACAATCCTATTACTAGATTCACCTTCTCTGTACTTAGTGGAGAATGCATCTTGAAAGGGGTGGAAGGGGGCACTTCCAAGTGTACTCTCCATTGGAGCTTTGAATGAAAAGGAAAGCCTGAATGGTGGGCAGGGCATCACAGAAACCCAGGAAGCCTGCAGTAAGAGTATGCTGGATCAGGTCATAACATTCCCACTTATTTCAATAAAAGTTGGAATGGGTCCTAATTTCATTGCATAAATTAAATAAAGGAATTCACCTGGTTTTGTAAATTAGATACAAGATCAATCAATAAAGCTTTATCTCTTTGCAGTTCAATATTATCTTGTTCCTCTTTAGCCAGCATACCCTTTAATTCAGCTGTTCGACTATTCATTGTTGCAATACTTAAGTCAAGAGATGTTCTTTCTTTTTCCAAAATACGAATCTGTGAGAAAAAGCCAAAACAAGAAGCAATGATGTAGATTTAACTATATTAAACAGTGTTCAGTTATTATATTCTATATAGACATACAATCCCACCCACAAGCTTGAATCAATCTCAAATACAATTGACAGTTTACGTAAAGCAAAAAAATTCTTCCTACCCTGCAAGCTTTTTGAACACCAGAGATTATGCCCCTTTCCCCATATTCTGTTTATTTAAAAGTCAATTTTAAATAATGTAAAGACATTCAAGCTTGGGATCTTTCTGGGACAACATATCTATATTCAGGAACTGAACTTTGGTCTTCTTTTCCTCATTTCTGGATTATAAAGCAGCCATTTTTTTCATATATCCCTATCCAAAACAGCCACCATCAGCACTTTCTGTCTGTGATAACATTTAAGAGCACTATCAATAGGAGCGTTCAATAACAGTAACTCACTGCCTCTTTACTCCTACCCAGAAGGTCCATCACTTCTGTGAGAAGTTAGTACCCTGCTTGCCTGTGACATGAGAATGCTGAACTACTTTCCAATTGCAGTTCATTTTTATATACAGCAGTTACACTGGCAATCAACAGTAGGTTTATTTGCAGATGTGCAAATTAATAGCAAAAAACCCCATAATCAACCAACAAAACAAAAAACCCAAAACCAATAGCTCTAGAGCCAGCAATCCACAGGGATTTGACAGTGGGGGTCTATTACAGACCCCCCAACCAAGAGGAGGAGCTGGACAGGGAATTTTCAGGTCAGCTTGCAGAGGCACTAAAATCAAGGGATGTAGTGGTCATGGGCGATTTTAATTACCCAGACATCTGCTG